CAGGAATATTAGGCATAAATCCTTCTGACACACTGATGTACTAGAGTCCACTAGGGAGAGGAGCTTTACAATTCTTGAGTGAAACCTATTTGGAAAGTTCTCTGGGGTGCAGCACATCTCAAATACTTTCACCAAAGAAGTGAGAGTTATAGCAAGGAACAGAAGACAAAAGACATGCTATATTCTCTAGCAATAATAGTATCTCAAACTCAGCACTCTGATGAATGGGTGGGGAAGAAAAGGGAAAGAAATCAGTATGAACACAACATCTAAAAAAACCCCAACCAAGACAAGGGAATCTCACTCCATGACTGCATACACAGATTTCACATTTATGGCTAGCAATCAGCTATCCTGGTTCTGAGAAGAGTGAGCAGAGACTCACTCATGGAGCTTTTATATAACTGTTCTCCAAATTTCAGGCTTGCCTAGAAGCTAACACCATGAAGTAAGAGACAAACTTGGCTGACTGTTGCTTCTCTACATACACCCAGTATGGGCAAGCTCAAAAAGAACACCTGCCAGCATTACATATCAAGCAAGATGAGCCTAAATCCCGAAAGACAAGAGGAGGCCTGGGCAGGTCATCTCAGTTCTGCCTTAACATGGTTCATGCTTCCTGACAGCCTGCAGGAAGCACATGTGACAAAAGCTTTTGCCACTGAAGGCAATGAGAAGGCTGGCTGTTGAAAACCTAGGCTGCACTCACTCAAATAGCAAGAAGTTTCTGTAGTAAATTACTTTTATGTCACTTTGGCAAATGCAGACATGCTTGCACTGTGTCAGATGAAGTCATGCTTCAGGATGCATGCTCTTACATGTGACTTCATCACAACTCACCTTGCCTCACCGCATTTGGAGGGCCCTAGCACTGACTGAAAACGCTAAGAAAAATCATGCTCATGCTGATTTGCTTTTGGCATTGCCAGTAGTGATTCAAACTGGAAATCATTGAAGATGATTTTTTTTTAACCCTATCAACTCCAAACAGATTTGGAAGGGAAAAACAAGAATGTATACGTGTCCTCATCATGCAGCCAAGCATCTTCCTGGATTCTTTGCCTTGAGCATATGCTACATCTAGACCTCCGGAGAATACCATGAAGCTGAGCATTGGCAGAAAGCACGCTCAGATAATGTGTCACCCTTTTCAAGGAAAATGGACCCTATGGGCATGCTAAACACAGGAGAGAATAAAAACCATCTTGCTCACTCCAGGGGGGACGACTAATTTACGCATTGGTGTTGGGAGAGCAAAGATTGAAATCCGAAAGTTATCTCTGGCAGGTTCTTGAGTTATGGCATTATTCTTGCATAATTCTCCATGCAAGAGCAAGAAACAAGGATCTTCACAGACCAGCATTTTAACAATACAGACAACATATGTGACCCTGGTGACAAAAAAGGCTCAGAGACTTAAGCTAGTTAAGTATCCCCAGAGGTAGAACTGCAGTTCTTCATGCACAAAGAACTTGTACCACCTGCTGGGGAAATGGAGAATGAGCTTCCCCCAGCAATAAAATAATCTCTGACACAGGCAGATGTGAGAAAATGATTGACACAAAACTGATTGTTTAAAAATCACTCAAGGGAAGGGTCAGTCACAGACAAATCAGGGATGAAACTCAAAAGATTAAAAGCAGGCTTGGAGAAGAAATAAGCAAGGTGCATTGCAGATAAAGCTGAACATCCTTATAAGCAACAGAGGAAGATGACACAGCTAAAAGTAAATCTTGCCATAAATCCACAAGAACAATCTTAACAATTTAAAAGGCACCAGAAAAGACAGCTGCACAGTCAAAAGAGCTACTCCTCTTCTTGACCCCAGGTCAGTGAAGTTGCTGAGAAGCACTGTCAGGAACACATCATATTCCACCTTGACAGGACAAACTATGCCACAGGTATAATCTGCAGAGGCCAAAGAACTTCCAGACAGACTGTGGATATTTGTACTGTAAGTAGTGTGGACGCACCCACGACCCAGCGCTTGAAGAGAGGCATTCATAATTATCATTCAGGTTTCCTTCACGTCTTCACTTACAAAGAGAGGAAGAACATTCAGGATACAACAGAACTCAAACGGACAGAGCCAAGGTCTTCCTCTCCTGAGCAAATCTGCACACAGCTGAAGAACTGCCCATGGTATTGACACAGAAAAGCCTCAGTAACAGGTTAGGCAAACTGAAACAGATTAGCAGCAACTGAAAGGCATCCTTTACAGGATAAGGAACAAAGTTCAGAGTGATTCACTTCAATCAGTAGGTACAGACTGAGTTGGGACTACTGGCTCTTTTCACTGGTAAAATTATGTCTACTACAAGTGGCATCCTCTGGTGTGGAAGACAAGCTGCATAAAGCTTCAATCTCATATCCAAGAGACGTATCATCTAGTGAGCTATACCTGTGACTGTTTGTGCTGGATGGAAATCTGTTTTTGGGAAGTGCAGGAAGGCTCAGTGTTCCCTGATCCAGTAGAAGATGGGCTGCCTTGCTGGGCCTGCAAAAGAAAGTTAGTGCATTGTTATATGCTCCTCAGCATGACCACTAGTGCCCATGCAGATACCCTTATCTTTACATGGGAGGTGCAGCCTGGCCTGGGTATCATACTTTCATGTTAAGGTTTAAGAATGCTCTAGAGATTTAGTTCATTAAAACAAGAGAGTCAGTTTCTTTCAAGAAGTCTGGCCCAACCTGCTAAAAGACAAAGCTTTTAAAAGCCTAATATAATTCATGCCAGCTGAGGTTAAGCAAGGCCAAAACAAACACCTCTCACAGCAAGACTATACTTCATCTTTTGCTTTTTTGCATCTATCAGATTAGCCTCTCAGATGCTATTATTTTCATCTGCATAAGATTTTGAGCCGTTAACATAAACTCAGCTCATTTTATTAAACAAGGAAAGCCTGGGACCTAGAACTCTTCACAAGGAAGATGAACTTACCAGAAGATGGTAGACTTGGTCATCAATAAACCAGGCTGCACTTGAACCACTGTCTTTGAGCAGAAAAGCTTCGAATTCCCCATCCCTTAACTAGAAACAACCCTCGGGATTCAAATCTTTTCAGAGCTGCTCACCGAGACAAAAGTAAAACAGAGGCCACCTCCCCTCTGTGCCAGCTGCTCATTCTCTAGCCGCTGTTTCGCCAGCATCACCGACATCAGCGTTGGCAGAGCAGAGTGTTCCTCCTGTGGTTCCTTTGCTGTGCTGCCGTCTACCCCATACAGCGGCTGCTCCACTCGCCGCTGTAACACAGTCAAAAAAAATACAATGAACTTTTTTTTTTTTTTTAAAAGCGATTCTCTGACTCTGCCAAAACTGTTGTCAGCGAAGCAGCAGCTCAGGAATGAGCAGGCAGCATGGCGAGGATCTGATAATTCAAACAGGACTCCTGGAGTGACTGTTCCAATGGCAGACATCAAAAAGTAGATGAAGTTAACAATTAAAAAGAAAAGTAACAAATGAATACACAGGACAGATTTCCCTGTCAGTTAATATACCCCTTTCCTTTGCAAATACATGTATTTCAGAGTCACTGAGGGAAAACAGGTTGTAGATGCAAAAATCTTAGTGCATTGTGACTTTGTCAATGCATTCAAAATTATACTACTTGATGTTTTTTAACGACTCATTTTAGAACAGCCAATGCCATGATACGTTTGTTATTCTGGTGAAGTAAACTGACTCAGAACTGCTAAATGTCAGCAACCTAACTATCACGAGGACCCAGACGTCACGATAACCTAATTTCTGTCATTATAGCTGGGACCAACCTCCTGCAAGACAAGCAAAGTACTAACGCATTCCCGAAAAATCTTTTTGATTTGACATGCATTGCGTCTTTTAAAGGCCAGCTCCTTTCTCCTGCAGTAGACTTGTTTTTCAACTGTGATACAGGAATTGGGTTCAATAAGAACAAGAATCATCTGAGCCACATTGATTACAGCACTCAGAATATCATTGCTCTCACTTTAAAAGCCAGCCCATCACTGCTAAAACTTGGCAGTCTGGGTAATAATCATCTAAGTCCTTCCAAACTGTAACTCTGGGCCAGGCATATGCCACATAGAAAGTAAACAGCCAGGTCAGGCTTCAGTTTTTTTAAAACCTAAATTGCAACCTGAAGCATATTTTCTGGCTAACATTACAAATGTCAAGAGTGTGCTTTCTTCTCCGAAAGAATGCTTGTATATAAGAGCGACCTTGCAAGAGCCTGAAGACCTGCAGATCATTCTTCTGATCAAAGGAGAAGCAAGGCAATTCAAAGCAGTCAAGAGATTCAAAGACAAGAAGTAACATCCTGAAGCCATTACGATTCCTCCGCAAGTTCTGATTGCAGAAAATTTCCAGTACAGTATAGATTATCTCACAGGTTTGGAGGAGGTTTGTCTCATTGTGAAAGACATTTTAACACTCTGCTCTCTTACTAGACCATACTGACATCTGTAATGGGTAAGATACTCAATCTTCTCCAATTTTCACTCATCCCCCCATTTTGGGGGGCTTAGGTCAAACCATCATTGATATTCAGTCTGTAAGAGGACAGATCTTGCAAATGCACATAATAGTTTGTTATGAAGAAGCAAACATTACAGGTTTAGTTGCAAGAGTAAAGAACAGAAGATAAGACAGACAAAGGGCACCTGAGTAAGGAGAGAAACAAACCGGCCTAGTGAAACTAACTGTAACATCAGTGTTCATCACATGAGAAATACTCTGTTCAAACTTTTACCTACAAGCGTAGAAGAAGAAAACTAAAGGAAGAGTCAACTTGTCCCATTATAAACACTTGTAGGGCATCTCATCTGCTAGAATAAAGAACTGTCCCTAATATCTCACACATCTGCAACATTCAGAGATGGTATTTCTTTCATTATCTTCTCTTTAAAGAGGTGTCTTAGTGAATTAATATGACAGGAGGAAGGGCTCTTCAATTAACCAGATATATTTTAATTTTTGTAAACATCAAAAATATCTAGAAGTCTATCTGACGTTCTCCCTTAAAGCAGCACTAAAAGTGTCGAAAATCTAGCAACATGTATTGAATTCTGAGCAGAGCACTCAGTGTTGGGATTTAGTTCGGTACACATTCATGAACTGTGCAAAGGTCTGCAGAATAATGTAATCAGTAAAGACTTTGCATTTGATTTTCGGAATACTAACCTTTCCCATAACGCTCCATACTTTTTATGACACTCAACAAATGCTGAAAATTTTTAAAGTGGGACCCAGGCGATGTTCAAAACTAGAGATCAGGCACCAGAGCCTCTGAATATTGCTTTGCTAGTTGAAAGAAATTTCTTTAGCTGCTCTGTGCTAAAATGGCTTAAAAATACCACGTTATTTCTTCACATTCAGATCTTGCAGAAATGCTGCGACAGCAAAATGGAATTAATGTGACCAAAAAAAATAGCAACAGATGTGCACGTATACACATTTCTTTGCAAGATTTTGCTAATGGACCTTACAAGTCACACGCACGTAAACAGAAGTAAAAGAGCTTCCCAATATAATTCTGGTATGCACGTTTTTTCAGTATACCCAAAGGGCCCAATCAAGATCGGAGTATCATTGTACTAGTGCTATACAGATATACAACATACTCCCAGCTTGGTGGAGAAGTTCATGAGCTACAATGGAATACAAGATAACTAATACGTCAGTTCCACCTTTTATTAAGGACAGCGATCTATCTGTAAACCACACAGCACGCTAAAAACATTGATCTTGCATGCTTTAAGCTCAGACATTCGTATCAGTTACAACTGGACTAGCCACTGTGACAGGGTCCTAAACATCTGGCTTTGCTGCCAGAATCCAGTTTCAGATTTTAAAAAAACCAAACACCCGAACTGAATACAGAGTAAGCCAAATCACTCACCAAGAGACACTTCTTTTCTGTTCAGAACATTTTATTACCTGCCTGAAGCACAGTCACCGACCTAATAAGTGCCATGCCACCAGCTCTGACCCCAGGAAGAACACTTACCGGCAAGGGGTTGGATAAGGAATGCTGTGGTGATGATCTGGCGACAGGCGGCACACTTCTACCAGGACTGGTTCCTGGGCCACTTCCCCCAGCAAACTGGCCAAAGCAACAGATTTGATCATCAGTAATTCCACAGAGATACTATATTTAGGCAAATTTCACAGAGACAGAAGAAACACATTAATCTTAAAAATGAAGCCTTATAGGCTCTAGGGACTCATTTAAGCAAACTGAATATAAGCTAAGAAGAAAACCTTCATGCACTGTTTTCAAAAATAACAGTAAAGGTAAGTACTCCAGACAAACATTCACATTTGCACTGACCACATTGCTCTTTTCAACACAAAAAGATATAAATGTACACACTCGGCTACAGATCAATTATTTACTGTATAGAATTAGGAAGCCCACTCCCTGTGAGGAGATGTGTCTAACTGTGCTCCGCAGAAGTGTAAGAAATGTACACCTCCACTGAAGCATCTGTGCTGTCACTATCAAAAACAGGGTATGTAAGCAGCTGGACAACTGGTCTAGTTCGTACAGAAATTCGTATGCTCCTGCACCACACAGTGTACCACACATAAAAAAAAAACTTTGCCGTGAAAGAAGCAAGCACTAAAAAGCACTTAATTTCTGACTCCAAGTTACTCAGTAAAATAAAGAAGAAACTTAAGAGAAAAGCTAGAGCTCTGGATTGTGCAGAAAAACTTCAGAAACCATGCAATAAAACAAGAATATTGATTTTTAGAATGCCCATCACTGCTTTGGGGAGGGGTCTCCATCTCCCATGTGGTAGTAGCCTTCCATGGCAAGCTTTTCTAAAGAGGGAATGCTGTAAACAACTTCCCACTCAAAAATCAGTGGGACTTTACAGATAGGTTCTTTTGCAGCACTGGACCTGTATCAAAATAGGTTTGTGTACCCAGAGATATCCTCATCTGAGATCCAGGTTCCAGTGGAAATCAACCTCGAACCTATACTTACGTGGCTGCTCTTCTAAAAAATTGCTTAATCAACTGTTCTTAGAAATGTTGATTTAAAAACCAACTTCCAAAAATCTCATATCCTCTTCCTAATCAGATTTGAGCATGTCAAGTTAACATTGTCACTCAATGACTCCAACCAGTAACAGAAGTCACATTACAGACTTCCACCTACAGATTCTGCATATTGTTAACTCAAGCAGATTTCTCAGACAATGTAAAAATGCTTACCTCAAAATAATCACTAATTTTATGTCCCCTAGGAGTGCCTTTACCTATAAAAGGAAAACAAAGGATGAAAATAAGAGTTGATATTTTTAAGAACAGAAGTTATGATACCATTCTAAAAAACTACTTCTGTATTTTGACCCTCCTTTCCCAGTAGAAAGGTGCACCACCCATCACAACAAAAGCTTCTGCACGACAAAAGACTGCGCCAGGGTTATAGCTCTCGTGCTGTTGCTGGGAGGGTTTACAGTTGACAATTCAATTCACTCTTAATTCCAAACACATCAAATCCAATCAAACAAGCATTCACACTTGCTAAAGTACTTAGAAAACACTAAACATCACTGATTGTTGCATAGGTTCTCCAAAACTTCCTTCAAGATAAGGATGGAGCAAAGGGTACTTTTACTCCTCCGACTTCAGGTAAATTACTGCATATTAGATCTCTCACAAGCATTCTTATAAGAGTTAGAGAGATAATTAGTGGTGGCTTAATACCAGCTCATTAAAACTTAGCCCTTTTCTTCTATTATACTATCAAAGCAGTTCTGTCAACACAATCCTCGTTACTTTCTTGTTCAAGAATAAAAGAAATAGAAATCTGCTCCTATGCCCATTTGCTAGGAAATCTGAACTTGGACTTGAATGCGGTGGGTTTTTCTTAGTACTCTAAGACAGCACTGCCTGCTTTATACTTGAGTACAGTTCGTTCTCTATTTGTTGTGGTGAGAATTTACTCTAACAAGGCAGGCATACGCCTCAAAAAGCAAGGAAGACAGTACAGCCTGTATTTTGAAGTCTGGGTGCTGTATATGTAGTGATGTGGGACCAAAACAGCACTTCAGAGAAGCCATATTAAGCCTTTGGGCAGTCTGTCCCATAAAAATGCAATAGTTTGTGCGAATAAGCTGAAGACGAGTATTTTCCTGCCAATGAGGATAACAGCGCTCCCAGAAGAGAACTATACCATCGTGGAGTAGTTTATAACAAGCTGCCTGACACACCCTTGAGAAGAGCCATTAGTTTCCTAGGACACTGACTCTGCAAAACGTGCACAAATTACCAACCGTACAGAAATCCTGCAGCAGCGTCAGGAGAATGAATTACCTTGACTGGTCTCATATGCTTCTGCTTTCCTTTTTCTATTCCGCTGGTCATTCTGTTTTTTCTCAGGAGTCTGTTAAACAATACTTCAAAATTAACATTTCTGCAGTTATTCCAAGATTTAAAGAAAATGCCAAAACACAATAATCTGCTCCATATCCCCAGTGGCCATTTCACTTTTCTGGTGCATTTGTTTCTACTGCTGGTACTTAAAGAAACAACTACGCTCAAATAGCTGCTACCTTCTGACGTATGTGCTGCAGAAGGGAGAGAACACGGTTAGGAATAAGGTTAAATTTTTTTCTATTTCAGTTGCAGCAAGCCAGCCTCTACTGCCCAGTTACCTCACATGGTTAGCAGAACAAGTTCAAATACTTATAAAAACCTGTGTAAACCATTTCACAGTGATCACACTACTGGTACAAGAGGAGTAATAACAAGACATTTGAGTACAGACATCCAAATTTGCAGTCCAGTGGCTACTCACAGTCTACCAGAACAATTCATCTTGCCTGCAGCTAATGCTTCTTCCCAAAGCTCTTTGCAGACGGCTACAACTATCCTGTCTGCTGGTGCACAGCTGCAACCTTACACAAAACACAGCAGAGCTCCCCAAGATGGCAGCCAGGAGAAAGCTGCCACTGATGCAGCAATTCACCTGGACTTCGCTCTCATTAAAGTCAAGGGTCAGTTGCATCTGCCATTTCTGTGAGCAGCCAGAGACCTGAGGGGCAGCTCATCACTGGACAGCGATGTATCTATGCACAGGCACAACAAAGAGCACCAGTGGGAGGCTTAAAGGCTCCAACAGTGTCATGCCTATCTGTCTGCACAAGGCTAGTGAGCCTAGACATGTGAATGTGGAGGAGACCCTGGCATGGTGCTTCCCCCATCACCAGGGTCACTTATGTGGCCAAACCTTCTGAAAACATTAGGAAGCGCTGCGTTAGAAACAGCTTACTGAGGTTGCTGGAAAGAAAGATATCTTGTCATTTACATCACCAGCGTCATTTAAAAAACATCTCTTATCCCAGAGGGTCCCAAATAATTTCCAAGCTATATGCTTTACAATCGCTGCAGCCACCACTAAACTATAGCCTGGGGCAGGAAGAAAACCACAGAGTGCAAAACACAACTCGGGGGGAGGGAAAGCCATGGCCAGAAAGTTTGTGGTAAACCTAAGTTTCATGCTCTTTGGAAACCAAAGTCCAAAGTACCCTGTTTAAAGATCTCTGCCAAAAGACTTGCACACAGTAAGCACAGAAATCAATCTACCTCCTTCAATAGGATAAAAAGGATAAAGCTGACACAGCCAGAATCTAAACCTGGCTGTGTCCCCAGTGGATGCTGGACATCTACAGTCCCATGCTACTAGCTGGGCAGTCACCAACATGTTATTATTTTGGTAAAAGAATGGAAGGGATGTTAAGACAAAGGTGACTACTGTGTCTGCAAAGTACTTTTTAGAATGGGGGGGACTGAAAACTCCATGTACCAGCTCCTGTATGTGTAAAAGTCAATGACATAGCCTCCTCACTGCATAGCAAAGAGCAACTCATGAACAGTGTTGGCATGACTGTAACACCACAGGCTCCATTACAGCCCCCGTGGAACTGTAAGCATATTAATGAGATTCAGTTTAAGTTGTTTTTCCATTCAAATACTTACATAACAGATAATGTTGTGTGTAATTTTTGTTATAGACTGAAAAAGCACGGAATAGTAGATTTGATTATGTCAGCTTGGTCAATTTAAATCACTCCACAGAATTTCATAAAAAAACCCAAGTAAAATAAGGATGAATACTCAGTTTTCCACTATTAGCTATACTTACTTGTATGGAGGTTAAGATACTGCATTCTCAAAAGACTTAAATTTCACCAGGCACCTCATATCAGTACTGCCATATAATAGAGGGAAATATGATCCAAAACTTACCTGATAACTGTGTGGAAAGTTCTTTAAATGCATAAGAAAAAGCATTTAAATTTGAGATTTTGCTTTATTAACATGGAATTTTAAAGTAAAAATGTAACTCTACAATTCATTTTGCTGCTGTAGGAAGTGTTTTGAAATAGTTAATCCTAAAGCAGTGATATTAAATAGGGACAAAGCACAATTTTCACCTCCCCACACTTCCACAGAGTGATTCATAAAAATGCTCAGCTTTGTACAGACTTCTGCGAATTCACATATTTGATAGGTAAGGCAAACTTTTCCATTAATGGTCTCTGGCTTTTTATTTGGCCAAAACTGTATCCAAAACCAGCACACAAATCACAATGCCGTTGAAAATGTTTTCATAAGCTGAGCTTTACGAATGCTGTATTTTTGGGGTTGGGTAAAACCCGCCTGTTACAGTGGGAAGCTTCAAGGACTGTTTCACAGCATGGTCCAAGGACTGTAAGGTTAAGATCCAGACTAGATACTTCCACTAGCCCCCTTCACACCCCAAAAAACACTGTCATTCACTTTCACTCAATTCTTTCTCTGTTTTGCGTTCAATCATGTCCCCCTTAAACCCAATTACCATGAGGATTTGTGCCTGCTTACCTCCAATTCTTTATCACTCAGAGAACCCACGCTGCACAAGCTCTGGTTGGAAGACTCACTATTTAATGGACCCTAGTGAAAAACAAGCAAAGACTGTTAGGAACAACTTCCATACAAGGCAGATAAGTCCTATCAAACATTGCATCTCTGGGCTAACTACACTGCCCTAAGTCACGTGAATACAGCAGCAACACGGGTCAAGTACCTAGACACATGACAGGTCACTAAAAAACTTTAGAAGTGTTTTGGAGCAAGATGGAAGTTGGACTGCCAGTTAGACCGTCTTTTCTCAGTATATCAATCCAGCCTTTGCAATGATATTTCTCTATCAATCTATATCCTAACTGCCCTATTTAACCACATCCACAAACCAGCCAAGGCAGTATTCATAAAAGCCTAAGACAACTGGCCTGAGAAACAAAACTTCTGATTTGTTGAGTAGCAGTAGTTCCAAGCTCAGTTCTTCAGGCAAGCATCCACTTGACCCTGGGCTAAGAATTTAGAGGCATCTTCCATCCGGCAAGGCAGCTATTAGTGTTATCAGATGCTGGCAGTACCACTAATTTTTCTTTAAATGTGTATTTTTCATGCTTTTTTAATGGTAAGAAAGTGAACAAGTGAAAGTTGTGTTAACAGCAGTACAACTGGCACCCATAAGACAATCTCTCACTAGGCTATTTTATGGACCTGTGGCTGACCTGCCAAGAGAGCACTTGCTCCTACCAAGCTACAGCACAAATTCAAGAGGTTGGAATAGATTTACCAAAGTGGTATCCAGGTACCAACAAGAGTCTGCCTGCATATTTGCAGGCTCTGTTGGATACTCATCTGCATTTTTCTGTATCCAAGCATTTTTGAAAATTATTTTCTAAAATCTGTATCAAAACTGGCTTTAAAAGGAAAGAAAAGTGAATCATGCAAAGTCACCATGTTTTAGCCTAGTGCTCTGACACAAAAGTATCTTCCCACAGATCTAACTTAAGAAATCTAGACAAATATGACAAAGATATAAAAACAAGATTCACAATTACTGACGGAATGTATTAACAGGAAGAATGACATGATCAAGTCACCTCTCCATTAATAACTTGTGAGCATCTTTTCCCAAAGATTCATTCTATTTTAGCATTCTTATTTTTGCAGTAACCATTTCCCACCAATCAATCTTTCCTCAAGGCAAAGCCACTTCTCATTATATACTTGAGACTTATGAGAGGGGTAGGGGAGAATACTTAACACCAGAGAAATCCCACCGTAATTATTTTTGAGGGTAGCAGTTCTCCCTTCCCCATTTATGAGACAAACACAACCATCAAATTAAACTTGTGACACAACCTAGCTATTACTAACCCCAATTTCCAAGCAGGCACCCACAGAAAGTAAAAGTTCTGTTTACCTTCTGTATTACACTGTGAATGTTAACTACCAAATTTGTTTCTCCTCAAAGGACATGCTTAGTTGCTTCAACAAAAAACAAAGACACACACCCCTCCCCAACACTTGAACAGCTCAAACAGCTACACATTTAGGATTCCCTTTTAAAAGCAATTTATTTTAAGAAAAATTGCAGATTTATACTCTTTAAGCCATACCATTACCCCTTCAACTCATCACACAAATAGCTCAAGGCCAGAAACATATTTTACCTCATCTCTTCAGCAATAGTTGCTTTTTAAACAAAGAAGCAAGCTGCCCACCACCCAACATGACAACTCACAAATCTTATAGGTACAGCTGCCAGTTGTGTGAGGGATTTATTCCTTGGCAAACAGCATGTAACAAAAGTGCCAACACTAACCTTAGCTACATCCACATGAAGGACTGATTAAAAAAAAAAGTAATATCCTCTGGCAAGTGGCAACAGAAAGTTAATCTTTCCACCCATGTAAAAAGCTTGTTTATAAACTGCACAAATGCTGTCCTCTAAAATCTTTCACTTCCTCTCATGAACTCAAACCCCAGCAGCACGTCCGAGACATCAACCCCCTGTGCAAGCGTGAAAACTTTATTAGGTGCAGGAACATCTCAACAAATTAACATTTGCTGGTCTCAGATGTACAGGCTGGGGTTCTGACATGACAAAGATGAAAGTTGTTTCCACATTTGCTTAAATTTTGCTGCCTCCATTTTGCACATGGATCAGGAACAGCCTCTCCCAAAATGCCTTGCTTGAGCTTTTCAGGAACACTGTGGTTGAAATGGTATGGCACTGGTTTACGAAGAGCCAATGTTTCAGCAATGCACTTGTATTCTACGGTCACTCAGAGAAATAAACTGATGAGGCCAGCTACAGTTAGCAATGATCCTAAGATTTTTTTTCATAAATACATGTTTATCCTCTCCAGTACAAAAAATCTGCTCAGTTTGCATCTGAATGTAAAATTCTGGAGTGCAAGCAGCTGGAAAAAAATGCCTAGTACAAAATCCACAATTTTTTCTTACTTCCAGTACAACTACCTGTATCTACTATTCTGCGTGGGAAACTTACAGCTCTAGCAGTTGGAATCAAACACATTTTTTGCATCAACAAAAGAGCAGTTCACTTCTGATCACAGATTCTTGAAGAGCAAAACCCCCCTATTTTCCCTTTACTTTAAAACTTCCTCTAGAAACTACACTGAGAAAATTGTAAAACTGAACTCAGTGCAATAGTGGAAAGGGTGAAAAGGAACTAACTACTTGGTTATGGAACCAGAAAAAAAACAGCTTGTCAGTTGTCGATAAGTATCCAGCAAGTTCAACTGTCACATGTATTGATACTGTGAAAAAATACAGAATTAATTCTTTGTAGACATGTTTTTATCCATTTTCACTGCATGAGCTTTCCTTTCCCTGGATTACCTTCTAGAAGGCCTTCCACTGACACTTCTCTTACAGTAAAGTATTAGACGTATCTTGCAAGCAAGGAGCTTAAGCAACTTGTGCATGTCAAAGTTGGCAAAAGTCTTGTTTTGAGGTATTCTGGCTACGGAAACACAAATTGTTCATTAGAACGTGCTGTACTTGAAGCAAAAAAAGATGCAATACCTATGATGTTTAAGGAACATGGCCTAGTCCTCAGCTGCACCTCTTCTCACGTACTTACGCAAGAGAAAGAAAAAGCAAGTTTTCCTGATCATCCAGCTAGATATCTAGTTTCACACATAACCTCATGTTATCAACTGCTTATAGCAACAGGTTTAGACAATGGGTATGAGAAACTATACTTCTGAGCATCTCCTCCTCAACTAGCAGTCAGTGAGTGTGTGTATAAAAAACCCCTTCAAATATATGTTTTATCATTCCTGACTGTTTATATTTAACTCAGCAACTGACATTGGATAAATGTTCAGTACTTAATTTAGCATACCATTGTAAGTGGTCATGACACAAAAGGAATTAAAGGAACAAACCTGAATTTTGGAAAAAAACAAGTAAGCAATGGCAAAGAATACTAACATCAGAATATCACTGGGGAAGTAGCAGTAGGGAATAATAAGCATGCAATAGTTTACAGAGGAAGGGCTTATAAATTTTGTTCCTGAAGAAGTCATCTGCACTGGCATCTGGCTTTTCTAGCATGGACTACTTTGGGATAATACTGCACTTCTCTGATATCACTTACAGCCCACTCATCCACTGTACCCTGTCAAGAGAATCGGTGATGGGGCTCAGCAAAAATTCAAAATACGTGGGTCATCTGAAGTAAGCTAATAGTTTCTATAGTGTTTACCCAAATGACAAGCACAAGAACAGCACACACCTCCTCCACAAGGAATTTCTTTCTGAGATAAGCTGGCATGCTCTTTTCCCTTGTGATTCACCTATCAACTGCTGCTTCTAAGTCTGTGACCTACCTATGCACAACAAAACCTCCATGTTAAGAAGTGGATGCAACAGTAGCAGGCTCTTTCAAGACTCCTACTCGAAGACAAGAATTTAAAATCTGTCCACTCACATGAGCTGATTAGTCATTTCTCCTTTTGCAAGAGCCCTGGAAAGGCCACAAATGAGGCACAATGGCTGAAGTTTCAATAGAAACAACTTAGCCTGATAATAGCTCCCATCGGATCTTCCATAACAAAGCTAGCCTGATTCAGATGGCCTTACCTTCAAGACTATCTACTGCCTCGCATGACTTCTGCATTTCCTCAGCCTCTCCAAGATGCCAAAAATGATCCCTCAGGCCTGCCTGCAACTCCTACGTTGGGCAGTCTCCGTTTTGCATTCTCCAATTCCTGACATTGAAAGAGAACTCTAGGAATTCAGGCTGCCTAGCCAGAGTCTCCAACATGGACTTACAGCAACATGCACTGCAAAATTATCTTGCCAACTCAATGGCAGAGACATGTTTCATTACCTCAAACCAAGGTACCCGAGTTTTTCTGAATTCTGTAGGAAATCAAGAGATTTCAAAGGGAAAAAGTAAATCGTCAATCCTTAGTTCCACTAAAAGTTAGTGCTGTCTCCACACAGGCTTACACTAAAGTGAAATGGTTGGATGGTTTTCCAGTTACTCTGGTCTAAGACAGGTTTAATTAACATATTCTTATCTTATTTCAAGCACCACATAAGTATGAGAATTACAGCTTGCTTCTTAATTAGGCTTTTAGAAAAGCACAGTATTATAGCCAATAATGAAATCCCCAAATCACCTAGGTCTTTTTGCCATGAGAAGTTAATCTACTATCAGATGTTCACAGGTAACCGCCACTACATCAGATGGGTAAGAAGATTTGCAACAGGATTTGCTTGGCTTCCATTACGCCTCAAGAGTTCTCTCCAATTGAAAAAATTGTATTTTTATTTTACTGACGGCAAAGTGGTCAGAAGGTTCACACAATTCACCCTAACCCTCAGTTCAGGGGCAGAAATAGAACTGAGATCTGACAACTATTTCTGGGTTCTAATAGCCAGACAACACATTTGAAATAAGTAATGTTGCACACGGAAGCATCCAAACAATTTTCAAGTATCTGGCATAAAGTCCTGGCACATTCTGTGGTAGCTGATAAATTCAAGTCTAAGTTTCAAAAGTCTTATTAGCCAGATTTTCTGCTGGCATGCGAGACCTGTTAAGGACCACCACTATGCAGCACCACTTCCCTCCAAGGAAGACATTATTCTCAAATACAAATTCTCAACTTGGTAACTTCGCTGCTAAAAATGTTGCTAAGTAGACCACGCAACTGGTAGTTACTGAACTGATCAAGATTGCTAGAATGAAAGAGAAAGGGTAAAAACCAAAACGATACAAGTAAATGCTGTTCTTTTTTATGAACAATTCTCTCTTCGGAGGCAGATGTTCTACAGCATAAGCGACATTCTTCACGTTATTTTCATTTCCCTCTTTATGATACCTTAAAGAGGGAGGAAAGGGAGCAGTAACTACCACCAAGACCAATACTTCTTCAATTCTAGCAGTCATCTGGATCTACATAATTCCTACAGCACGCCAGAGAAGGTTGCTGTCTCCAGAAATACTTCAGCCTTTTCAGTTTAGCTATAATAAAGTGGCACACACAGCTCAGTCTGAAGCTCTTTTAAAGACCAAACTCACAGAAGATACACGTACTGCTGTGCTGATCCACCCTGGTTAAGCCTGAGACAAGCCATGTGCAAATACAGATTCACCCACCAGTTACCTATTTCAATTCTTGCCCGGGAAAAGTCTGTGGAAATGACACAAATCCTTTGGAGTTAACCCACCTGATAGCTTAAAGGCAGCACCCAGACAGGGGGAAGGGAGAGAGAAGATGAGAACAGACAAAATTAAACAATGTTATCTAGAAAAGCAAACTACATTTTGTCTTCTGTACCTACTGACCCAAGGAAGATGTCTGTGATGACTGGTCAGAATAATGCCTCCAGTGAATGCGCTTAGACTTCCCCTAGCAAGTAGACATAAATGGGAGCTAAATAATTAGGAATACTGGTAGGTGTCAGGTAGTCATGTGTTAATTCAAGGACTTGCTTTGCGAATTTGGGGAAGAATGGCACTTTACCATATGGCAAGAATAGACATCTAAAGCATCACTGGCTTTTTGAAGCTGTCTAGTGACCTGGATGAACCACATGAGTATAACAGTTGCCTAGAAACATTCCTTGCTCATAGATTTGATTCCATGTATTAACTCCCAGCTTCTAGAGAAATATATTCTTCAGCTACTAAGTGAGATAATTCATCACAGATTTGCCACAGAATTTTGAGGTGTTTGGGACTGTGAATGACCTCAGTCATTGGGTTGTGCCTTCAGTTACCACAGGAGGTGACAGCACACAGCTGTTTCTAAAACAGTTTAGGTATTCTGTCCTCTACTACTGTTACTGGAAAGCTCTTCCAGAACCCCATGAGTCTGATGGCTAGAAGCATTTTTCTAGTTTCCAGCCTAAAAAATTTATTGTAGATCAGCTTGGTCTTACTCATTTCTCAGAAACATGACGTATAGTTCTTTACTTGCAAACATGGATGGAAAGTGGGCTTTAAAGCTGCAGTTGTATCAAGGATGTAAAGTAGTACCTTAGTTTTACACAGGTCCAAAATATACCCTGTATTTTTAAACATTAAAGAAACCTAACCAAATGCACTAAGTGATACACCCTGTCAGTGGAAGGCAGGAAGCTCAGTTACAACTGCCTGCTGCCTTCACCCAATAGGGGAGCATCTAAGATGACATTTCTTCCTTTTATGCAATAAACAGCAACAGAACACCTTCTATCCCAGGAGGATGTGCCAGTCCCCGTCCCACTAGATGGCACTAACTTACTCTATGCAGCTTTCCTTAAACATTTAATTGGAGAGCGCTAAAAATCTTAGTTGAATCATACAAATTGTATCACAGCTTTCCCAATATATTCCCTTTAAGACAATGACCTACCAATGCCAGTGCGGAGCATGACGGACGGAGACTTGGGGGGGTAGGGAGGGAATTTGAAGCACCAACCTGGGAGGGAATGTAGTATCTGAGATTAATATTGCAACCAAGATTTGCTGCAACATAGTAGAGTCATGCTAATTCATATCAATGGTTGGCTGATCTATTGCAAATTAGCAAGTATGCAAGTAAATAAATATATATTGTTTGAAATAAGTGTAATGCACTTTAACAGCTTACTGACTACACAAAGTAAAAAAAATTATACTGCATAACAACAGGTAAAAATAAAACTCAGTAACAGAATAGCTTTGCTCAAAGCAAAGCTTCCAAGAAACTAGGCTTTTTTACTTGGATATGCTTTAGAAACAAAAATGAGTTTTCAATATTCACCCTACAGAGAAAGGGCATGTACTTTCTTGTCCAAAAATATTGAAAACATACTTAAGACTTGCTTTCCTGCATCTTTTAAAGGTTATTCCTTTAAAAGGAATAGTTTCCAACATTCTTTGTGAGCACTGAGTATGTTAGCGCTGTTTTAAAGCAACGACAGCATCTATGCTTCTAAGTTGTCACTATTCTAGAAAGTTGCTGGCTTTATCTATACTGATTACAGCTACAGATGTTAATGTGACATACATGGAGGGAAGAGGCAAGAAACAGATGAAAAAGTACATAAAATGTTGTAATGTTGTATATAACAAGTCTTTCAAGATTGTAAATGGATTATGTACCATAAACTTTTATGCTAGTAAAAGCCTTAAGACAAAAAGTCTTAAGAGTGGGGCAAAGATCAAAAAAACCCCACACACTTACTTCAGTAACTGAACCTGTTACCCCATAACAACTTCTAGTGTTAATTTTCCTTACTACGTTACCTTACAGCTGAACATTTTACTTACAATCCCTTCCAAGACTTAACCTCGTTTGAATCCTGACTGAAATACAGATCAGAAAGAAAAGCATGAACTCAAACAAAACCCTTTTTCAAGTTCTGATTTGCTTTGAGTTTTTCTAAGAAACACAGCATCTACAAAGCTTCTTCCCTAAGTAATTCTAAGAGGTTTCTGAAAATTATCTACCAACGACAATGTTGTTTTACCATCTACCTTGATGTTGTCCAAAACTCAGTGTCTTCTTCAAAAGTAAACTCTTTATCACTGACCTAGTTGAAGTTGAGTTCTGCCACCATTTCATTACTCAGAGAGACTATCAATTAACACTACCAACAACATCTGGAGAACTAACAGCTTAATGCTAGTATATCAAGCAACCACACAATATTATTATTTAAGTGCTTTACTCAGGAAAGGCAGCTACTGAACAGTTATGAAGTTGTACACGAGGACAAAGATGGGATTTTACTAGCAGGCTGTGGATCACAGATACAGGAGAGCTTACCTTCAAATAGTTTTTGTGTGTGTGTTCTATGCGACCGAGTACACAGTTTTAGCACACTGCACCCACAAAGAACTGAACAAACTCCTGAGTATGTTAAGCCTGGTTACATGTTGTATCAAACACAGTAAACTTGAAACTGTATCTAACAAGTGGCCAAATTCAGTTCTCAAATGCATTCTTGGAGAGGAGACAGATGAGATTCCCACTTCCAAAGACAAAGTTGTCACAGGTTTTTTTGGGGTGTACAAGCTGCCTTAAGATGGAGCAACTCCTAAGAACTTAATTAGAACCCAAAAATCTTCTGTACAGCAAAACATCTGCTCATAGACATCCCATTTTCATTCCTCTTAAATATGCTTCAAGCAAATCAGCAGTCAAAACACAACTATTGGTACAAAACATTCTGCTAGCAAAGCAAAATTATCCATGTAGAAATTAAAAAAACAAAAGTTCAGCGCAGGATGGGTAAGCAGGCATGCCTGTTACCAAAGGTACTTATACACACCTTAGCAACCCCGACTCCAGTGAACCTGGCCTCCAGTAGTTCCTGCCTTCGTGGGTCCAGGCTATGCAATTCTTCCATCATTTCTGCTGCTATGGGAGAACAACACTCAGATTATGCAATGCAAGGAAAGGAGATTTAATATTCTGTGCCACTGAAAACACTCAAAAAGTGCCTGTTCTGCAGCACAACCATGTAGAAAGAATTTTCTTGCAAGAGAAATGCAAGATTACCAAGCAATAACAACATGACTTTGCCACCATAGTACTGCATTTAAACCATAACCCTGCTGGACAGTTTCCTCTTCTATCTGTGGTACCAGCCATTTCAAGATCTCTAAACCCAAGAAACCAATTATGTCACATTCTCCCACTAGATGCTTTATTAAAAGGAAAACATGGGACCAGAGTGTTATGACTAAAAGCTTCAGAGCTTTTCATCTGTGCTGCATGACTAGGAGAAAAAAAAGCAACATTCTTTACCCCATAATTTATTTTTGGCCAATCCTGGAAATACTAGATCTCCCCAAATTCCAGACTTCACTGACAACAGTTTTCATTCCTCCAAGCACAGAAGGCCATTATAAGAAGAAAATAATGCTTGTTAAAACCTTTTACTTTATGGAGTAAAGCATCAGACACTTCTAGCATAACACTTGCTGTCATATACTGTATGTACCTGGGGCACCTCTTGGCAAGCCAACAGATGCCATTATTTGAAGGGTTAAAAGAAAACCCAACATAGTTGCGGGTGTAAACAGGTTAAAAGTCAGGAAATATACTATTCAAATACTGAACTGCAAAAAAAAAAAATGGGACAAATTTCAACATTCATTATAACTGTGAATCACATCTTCCCAACTGCACCAATCAAGTTCATTTCCAGAAATGTCTGTTCCAGTTTCATTTTCTGGACTAAAGTAGGAAAAAAAAAAAGAGCGAGAGAGAGAGACAGAAGATAAAGATTTGCTGTATAAAGAGCATATGCAATGAGGAAAGTTCTTGAAGGGCAGCAAGTGCCCTCTAGAATAGGCAGTATACAATTGTTCCTTTTATTAACTGTCCATTTTGTCCCTGCCGTTTCCTCCAAACGCTGCAGATCTAAGTTACAGGGGGCAAAGTGAATCTATCCGAGGGCATGCACAACTGCTCTCCCAAATCTGTAACAAGCCTCAAAAACTAATGGGATACTAAATGTGGTTATTAGAGAACCCTATTTCTACTATTGGCTTTAAAACCCCAACAAAGATACCAGCCTAGTTTTCAAAACAGGAAATCTGTGCACCGAGGAAAATGACAGACAAGCCATGAATGCAAAGAT